AGAGGGTGAGAAGAGAAGGTGGACTTAGAAGAGGAAGAAGAAGAACTCTCTCTCGCTCTCTCTGTGTCCAGTACTAACCTGTGAAGCTGGCGCTTTGATGCAGGTACCACGAAGATGGAGCTGGAGCGATGGCGCCACAGGTAAGTAACGCTGGCCTCCGCCAGCCTCTCTCCACTCTACGACCTACCTCCTACCAGCGCCCAGCGCTAAAGACTGCAGCTCAGCTATGGCGCCCAGCGCCGAAGACTACAGCTAACTCTACCACTATGGCCTAGTGCTAGAGACTACTGCAGCGCTCCTCCTGAGTGCTGCGGCCGAATCCTGAAGACTACCTCTCCTACTGACTACTGACTGACTACCCGTGAAGTGCATGGGTCCTTCCTATGTACTACGGGTGTGCCTCTTGAGCCTGCCGATGGAAGGCAGGGGCTGCAGCTGCAGCTCCTGCTCGAGCGTGTGAGAAACAGGCTATTTTGGGCCTGTTCCGCATTCCGTGCCTGAGTCTTAGGGGCAGGTCGAAATAATGAGGGCCTGAAAATGGCCCTCCGTTTCAGGCTGAACCTCTGGGTCTGCAAAGACCCAGAAATAGGCTGAAACGAGGTAGGGCCTGCAGGCCCTCGTTTTTCAGCATTCAGGCTGAAATGAACGGGGCCTGTAAGCCCTAAGTTGAAACGAAGGCACGGGGCTAGGAGCTAGGACGCGTCCAACGGGCCTTCTTTCACGTCCCCCATAGCCGACCACCTCCAACCCTCCTTCCTCCTCCATCACCCACACCCGTCCACCATAGCCAACCACCTCCAACCCTTCATCCTCCTCCATCACCCACGCCCGTCCACTATAGCCGACCACCTCCAACCCTTCTTCCACCTCCATCACCCACACCCGTCCGCCATAGCCAACCACCTGCAATCCTTCTTCCTCCTCGATCACCCACGTCCGTCCACCATAGCCGACCACCTCCAACCCTTTTTCCTCCTCCATCACCCACACCCGTCCACCATAGCCGACCACCTCCAACCCTTCTTCCTCCTTCATCACCCACACCCGTCCGCCATAGCCGACCACCTCCAACCCTTCTTCCTCTTCCATCCCCCACACCCGTTGGCCATAGCCGACCACCTCCAACCCTCCTTCCTCCTCCATCACCCACACCCGTCCACCATAGCCAACCACATCCAACCCTTCATCCTCCTCCATCACCCACGCCCGTTGTTGGAAGATGATGCGGCGCAGCAGCGGAAATTGACTCGCCGCGGTCAACTCCCGCGCTGCGTCAAAAATTGCGTCCGTAGTCATAGACCGTAGCGCTTCAGTTAGATTTCCCCTGAGCCGAAACCAAGGGAAAGATGTCGCGATGGTACGGTCCCCTGGAGACCTGATCTTCCTCGTTGGACTGGACCGACGCGACCGCAACGGGCCAATTAGTGGGGTCCGGTCCAAACGGCACTTGAAACGGACCAAGGGTTAGCGAGATATTCAAGTTTGACCGGATGGGACCGGACCGACACGATCGTGTAACCCGGCCAGGAAAGGAACAGCCCTAAGTAGCCATATAGATGAACAGCCAGGCCCGAATAATTAAAGTAGGGTCATGTGCTATTTTTAGCACGGTACTGACTGTTCGTTCCCCAAAGTCGGGCCTGTGCCAGTCCCGTTCTAAAAATAGGACAGCCCTACGCTATTTTTAGCGTGGGCCGACTGTTCATCTACCGGGGACTTGGCCTGCACCAGTCCCGTTCGAAAAATAGCACAGCCCCACGCTATTTTAGCGTGGGACTGACTGTTCATCTACCGGGGACTGGGCCTGCGCCAGTCCCGTTCTAAAAATAGGACTTATTGTTCATATCCCGAGGTCGGGACCGCTGCTATTTTTAGCACAGGCCCGGTCTAGAGTTAGACCACGGCCGCGACCTTGGGACTGCAGCACTCAGCCCCGATCGCTTGGCCTCTCCATTATAAAAAAGAGGCCACGTCACCCAAGACATCATATCAGTTCGGGACAGATCAGTGTGAGATGCACGTGGCACATCAGGCAGCGCGAGAGAACCCTCACTTGTGGTAGCCCGGCAGCGTCGGCGGAAAGGCAAGCAGCGAGAAGAGCATGGAGCGAGAGGTAAGGGAGTCGAGCAGAAGGCAAGCTAGGGAAGGGATAAGGAAAGGAGGGGCCAGGACTGGCCCCTTACTTTCCCTTTCTCATCTTCCCTCCTCTCTTCTCTCTTTCTCTCTCTCTCTCCCTCCTCCTTTCCAACCGTCTCCATGGGTTGTGTACATGTCATATCTGATCTGTGAGCTCCATGCTTGACCTGATGATTGACCATGAACTATGCACTCACGTACTGTAATTAAGGGTTGACTCAGTACCGTATACCCATGAGCAATGGATCTATAGGCGGATTGTGCGCAGCACACAATATTGCCTCCGAACCAGAATGGTGCTCCTTGGATGAGCCGATTTTAAGACTGTCGGCGCAGTCCGACTGAGTAATAAGCAGATTTTGAGACTGCTAGCGCAGCCATGCCGAGTAAACAACCGATTTTGAGACTACCAGCGCAGTCCCACTGAGTAATAAGCAGATTTTGAGACTGCCAACGCAGTCATGCCGAGTAACCAGCCGATTTTGAGACTGCCAGCGCAGTCCCACTGAGTAACAAGCAGATTTTGAGACTGC